TGGGGTAATTTGAACATAGTGTGAGAATTTCAATGAAGACAGGGATAGCTCCGAAAAAACAACGCTCCCAGTTTTTTGTTGCCAATATTTTTGACCCAAAGCAGTAGCAGATAAGTTATGCCAGTTTTAGAAAAGTTACGTCTAATATCCGTCTAATGTCTGGCATTTTCGTTGATTTTCCGTCCAAAAATGTTAAAATCAACTATTTGTCCAAATATGTCCGAAAATTATGCAGCTATCAACACTCAAAACCGTCATTTATATTGCTTATCATGTAATTTTACCAGCCGAAAAGTGTTCATTATGTTGAGATTCGCCAATCAATGCTACTGACGCACGATTACTTGATAAAAATGCTTAAGTGTGGCAGGCCATCGTCCAACGTTGTCCAGACTTCTATACCTTTGTGCAATCAATGCTGAATTGGACATTATAAAGAATCGGAACTCCGAATGTCCAGGTTCCGATTGGCACCACTACAACAGATGAAGTAAGGTTTGGTAGAGTTTTTATCGAACGGAGATGATAGACGTTCTGTTAATTGAAGAGAGGCGAATTCTGTCAACTGACCGGTGTGCAGCGTGCAGATATTGATACTCTGCAACTCTTATTTTTGTTGTTGTGTTGATTTTTCAAATGATGGTATTTTTAGAATTGCTCTGCCTATTTGTTTATTGGTCAAACAACATCGGTGCTGGCGAAACTATCTTTTTTATGGCAGGTAAAGACAGTATGTTCAAATCACCCCGCGGTGGGGCAATTTGAACACACCGTGACTTGGTGGAGAAGTGATGCTATGCTATTCAAGGTATGCTCGGCTCGTCCAAAGATAAGGCTTGCATGGTGAAAGCAAGTGACACATGCGCTACTGAAACAGTTTTTCTTCATCCAGGGTTGAGCTGGAATTAGGTACAACGGAGAAGACGTGAAAATATGTTCAAATTACCCCACACTACCCTAATTAGGATTTGTGACCTCATCAGTCTCAATGAGGCCATTACGGTATAATCCCTTACCTCGAGTCTGAATGCCAATTTATTCTTCCTTAACTGATGATCGTCTTGCATTGTCCAATGTCCATGTCCATATCAGTACCTAAGCAAGCCATTGGTTGCAAACCAGCTACCGGCCCTGTAAAACCTCATGACCGACCCTTTGCCAGCATGTGGCGTCATCTATTCAGAAAGGAGCCACAGTTTAGACCGCCGTCAGGCGCTGCCACCTCCTGGCAGAACACTGTACTGATAGTTCTCCTGGTCACCACAAGTTCTAATGGCGCCCCGGGAGCGGAGCCATCCGTCCTCAGTAGTTCATGTTGCGATCGGTCGTGGGGAAATCGACAGATTAAAGCATGACGACTGGCTGCAGTCGCCTGCCGCGGCCTTGAAAGGTTCATCGGCCCGGCTGAGGCGCGCCGCGGTGGCGCGCCTGAGCTGCGGCGTCGCCGTGTCGAGTGAGAGGCGCGCGCGCGCGGCGGGGGCCCGGCGCCGATGTGGGTCAGTGGTGAAGGTGGTATTACGGCGGGGTCGACGACCGGTACGTCGCAGCTGCAGCCGCCCCTCAGCCCTATCCTCGGCGGCGGGCGGCCAGCCGTGACGTCAGCAGTGCCCGTGTGACGTGACGGCAACAGTAGCCGAACCGGCAGCCGGCCAGGATTGGGCCAGGAGCTGCCCGAGGAGGAGAGGCCAGCCCGCTCACCGAGCGAGCAAACCATTTCAGTCGTTTGAAGTGGTCCAAAAATGTTTAATGCCCGAATAAGCTTGATCCTCTCTCTGCGCTGGAAGCAGAGCCAGCAGTCCTCAAGTCTAGAATAAGACAATTGAAACGATCATTTTGCTGAGATTCACATTATTGCAACGTCTTCCTTTATGGACAATCTGGAATCGTAAACCGCTAAAATATATTCCAAAACGATCAAGAAGCCAATGTCACATGTAGCAACTCCGGGATTAGCAAGTTATAGTTATAATTGCCCGAGAGGTAACCTGAAATGAGTTAGACCAAATTTATCCCGCACCTATAGTGGGGTCTGATAATAACGCGACCTGGTGGGAGGGGGCTATTTTTGCCCCCCCCCCAATCACATGTTTGAACGTTTGAAACCACGAAAAGCTTGCAAACGCGCGGCTAATGTGAGCCGACATACGCCGAATCGCGATTCCGGCCAAACATGGTCTCGGAAAGAAGGCCACAGGTCAAAGGTCATTTGGGTCAAGGTCATGAAATTTTCAGAGTATGTGTAAAATTGATCAATGCAAGGGTACTGAAAGTTTTGTCGCGATCGGCCGCTTTTTACGCGAGTTATTCGCAACAAACCTTAGGGGGGGGGAGGTTGCATCAACCCCCTGTGCCGGCGAGGGTTAAAAATCACGTTCTTGATATTGGGGGTTCAAAATAAAAAATCAGAGATAACAGTTCTGTAGCCCTGTTTATTATACACTTTTTTATTCCAAACATTTTCTCTATCTTCAAAACTATAGGCATGAAAGCTCTTAACGCAAACTATTTTTTTTTTGTCGAAAATGGCAGAACATAACGTCACTCTAACGTCATTTGAGGCCACCCTATCATAGCCACTGGAAAAAGATTTGGTCGCAAGGTGTAAAATTGATGTACAAGTTATACTGAAAGTTTCGCGACGATCGGCGCATTAGTTTGAGAGATATAGGTCAGATGCAATGATCAAATAATGTACGACTGATTCGACGTGGAGATGCTTTTGCTTCGTTCGAATTTGTTTGTGAAATTCCGTCACCATTATATAATCGTTTCATAATAAAAACACCTCTGGCGCTGCGCACCACACCTTTAGGCTATCGCCTCGTCATTCCAAGGATAACCCAGCTTTCCCCTTTACTCCGAAGGGGCCCTGCCGTGAGATGCCGGGTATTTGTCATCCTAATGCTTTTTATCACTGGCCGCCACAGGAGCTGTACTTAGTCAAGGATAACATTTACGATCCTCTTCTCAGTTATCGGAGGACCAACTCAGCCTTGACTCTGGAACTGCGTATGTCTGCCCAGTGCGATAACGATGAATTGTGTGAAACTTAGCCACACAGTCAAGTATTTGCAAAAAAGTAAAAGTTGATAAAAAATCGCTAAAGCTAATGAAATAATATTGCATCGCACATTCCAAACACCTTCCACTCCATGCGCCTGCTGGAGGGTCCGAGGAGTCTCTGAAGTGACTGCCTCCCCTTCCGCTTCCCCCGGTATAGTCCGAAATTTACGGCTATTCCGTTTTATCTATTGCAGAAAGAATATGTCATTGCTCATATCCAAAGACGTTTGTCTTGATCTGCGAAGCAGCACATTTTGTCATTTTCAGGGACTTTTGGGAGAAAATGCCCCTTGCAGCGTTCGTCGCAGCTGTTCTGGGCCCTCGAATGCACGCCCGTGCGGCAAAGTTCCTTCGTTAGCGTTGGAAATAATGAGGTATTGAGAAGGATGAAACATCTGGGCTCACTTGCCAGCTGGGGATGAAGGCTGTCAAGCTTAGTATGTATAAGCGTGCGACAAGTATCTAGCACAATCGGGTTGGGTGACTTGATAATGCGTATTTTTGTCGCTGCAATAGAGAGTTTGAGTCTAACTCTGCTGTTCTCACTTGTAGGTTGTACGTTAACACTGATGCATTGCTTTGTAACTATAATCACCAACCACGTGATGTGAGCTGCCTGGGCTTCCCCGTATAATATGTAGAGCTGGACACCTCACGTGCAGCTGACGGTGGCCGTCGACGGTCACTGGTCCTGTCGTCACCGTCGGCGGCCGCCGTCATCGAACCTCTCCCCCTGTCCGGGAACCGCCGGTTCCGACGGAACAAGGTCAGGGTCGGCCGGCCACCACTGTGGCCTTGGCTGTGCGGCAGAGGTTATGACTGTTTGAGGAGCGGCGACGGCACCGCGTCATCTGCAAACGCAGCGTCCGGCCCCTGAACGGCAGTGAAAGTTTCCGCGAACCACCGCAGCAATGTGCTCAGTAGTCCATCGCATCTGATTGTGATTGCGGTTCGAAGGACTGTTTGTATTCTAATTACTCATGGTCCATGGAGTATCTAAACCAGGCACAACAGCGGATATAAGTTTTTAATTGTGCTGAGGAAATGTACCGGCATGTACTCTCTCACCCCCCAAGTGGGCATAGTCATTTAGCAACAGGGAGGTTCTACATTCCATACATGGTCCGTTAAAAATATGTTGCAAAGGGCGTGCTAGTGAGTGTGCTATCTTTTCATCGTGCAAAAATAGCAGATCCTCGATCTGAGTCATGTAGACACTTGTGTTTGCTAGCAGAAAGTAGGCCAGACAGGTCATTTCAAAGTTACCTTACCGTGCCGCGAAGGCCCCGACTCACGAAAACACCATTCGGCGAACCGCGGGGTTCAACGACCGATCTGCGGCTTATCGGTCGTCAACAGGCCCGTAACGATATATTGCAGCCATTTTTGTATTTGTTTGGGCAGGTCTTAGCCATTATCATCAATAAATACGACGGCCAGGAATCTGACGGGTGACGTAATTCTGCTGAAAATGAAACTGGTGACTTGGACGCAGTTAAACTCAGGGCCGTTCACAGCACGATTTGCACAGAAGCAGCAGGTGTGTCATGAGGTGCACCATGTTACCTCCATATGTTCGAAATCCGGCGCGAAGTTTTTAATCGGCTTCAGTCGTGACATGGTTTAGCTTCTTACACAGCCGATAACACGTGAAAGTTCATGTAACTTGATTAATAAATATGAAACGAAATTGGCGAAGCCAAGAGGCAAGAATCATTTGATGAGAAGGTATATCTACCTAATCTTTTCTTGGTATGAGTACGAGGCGAAAGTGTTTCTTTATCGGTCAGGGGAGCACATTGATAAATAAGCAATGAACATATCTCGCCCGGCCTCATGGCCACCTGAGTCGGCTCCATTTCTCTCGTCTCATGTCGCGATATGTTGCTGCAGCTATAGGGTTGTTGTTGTTGTTGTTTGTTCCCTCCAGGTCGACCTCAGTCGACTGTAGCCTGACGGCTCTGCAGGGTCCTGAACGCGGCCGCCAGGGCCGCGACAACTCCGTCGCTCCGCACCTCTTCCCTGTTGGGTCTGATTGTCCCGGTGAGTCGCAGCCTGGCGCCCATCAGGGCCGGGCACTCGACCAGGACGTGGTACGGAGTATCCGCCGTCTCTCTGCACAGGGGGCAACGGGCACCCTGGCAGTCCACGTCTTCGCACTGCGGGCAGTGTCGCGACGGGTTCCGGCCGATTCGGTGGAGGTACTGGGCGGAGCCTGACCAGTGCCCCGCTCGCAACTGGTGCACATCCACCGCCTCCGCTCGATCCAGGTGTCTGACTGGTCCCGGCAGCTTCGCTCCCATGAGGCTGCGGTACCATCCGCGCGGCCAGTCGCTGACCCACTGGTCCCGCGCCGTCCTTGCCACCGCGCGGTACACCGTCATGGCGTCGACGGGGACTTCCTCTTGGTCCAGTGCTGAAGCTTGCTTCGCCAGCTCGTCCGCTCTCTCGTTCCCGGGCAGGCCGCAGTGGGAAGGTACCCACTGTAGGTAGGTACGCCTGCCGCGGGCCGCCAGCTGTTGAAGCGCCGCCCAGATTTCTCCTCCTATGAGGGTTGTTTGGGTAGAGGGGCCACCCCGGAGTGTCGCCAGAGCTGACTGGGAGTCCGTGCATATCACGATCGGCTCAGGAGGGAGGGTTTGTCGGTCCAGCAGGAACTTCAGCGCTTCTCTGAGGGCTACCATTTCAGCACGGTAGCTGGAGCAGACGTTCCCCGCCGGCACCGTGAGTAGGTGCTGCTGGCCGTCCGGGTCCTCGATGAAAACGCCAGCGCCGCCGTTTGTGATGCCTCCCTCCACCGAGCCGTCGGACCAAACCCAAGTCGCGCACTGTGGCAGACTACCTAGGTGACAGGTCGCCGCGTCTCTCTTCTGTGTGGAAGTCGCATTCAGTGGTAGTGGTCCCACGTCCAGGCTGATGGTGACCCCGCTCTTCACTTCCCACGGGGGGACGCTCGCCTGCGATACTGGGTCGATAGGGGGGCCGACACCGGCCGCCTCCCACATCTCTCGTCCCAGGGTTCTCCAGCCCGTCACGGATCTTAGACGGGCCGGGGCGTCCGACGCGGCTACTCGATGGAGCGGCTCCTCCGGGGGGAGCGCAGTCGCCTTGGCCAGGAAACGCGCAGCCAGTGTCCTTCTCCTCACCGATACCGGGAGAAGGCCCGCTTCCGCCATGAGCGCGTCCGACGGAGTGCTGCGAGTGCACCCCGTGACGACTCTCGCCGCTGCTCTCATTTCCCTCTCCAGAAGTTCCACGTGGGAGGGCGGCGTGGCAGGAAGCCAGGCTGCTGCGGCATGCTCCAGGGCTCCTCGGACATAGCCGCTGGCTACTGTCCGGAGCAGGTCCTCCTCGAGGCCCCAGGAGCGTCCGGACAGCTGACGCAGCTGCGCGATGCGTGGGCGGACCTTCTTCCTCAGCTTATGGCAGTGGGGGCCGAAGTGGAGGAGACGGTCTAACTGCACGCCGAGTAGGCTGATGGAGTCCGTGGCTGACACTGTCTTCCCCGCCATCTTAATCTGGCAGTCGACTGCGTCGCGGTGCCACTGTGACAACACCAGCATCTGGGTCTTCTCAGCTGCAACGACCATCTTCGACTTCTTTGCCCAGGCGAGAAGGGCGTCTGCAGCCCTCTGGGCCCTGTCCTTGGCTATCTGGATGGAGTTCCCGGCGCACAGTGCTGCGGTGTCGTCCGCGTACATATACGGTGAGCTATATGCGCTATATGCTATGTGCCATATATATATATGAGCTATATGCTATGTGCCCAGCGACCCATGCAGCTATAGGGTCGCTGGGCACGTCGTCCATTGTCGACAAGTAGTCCGCAGTCCGACTTGGCTATCTTTTCCCTGATGGCATTTCTCAGACCGTTTGTCCAGAGGGACAGACCGGAAGAAGCTGGGCTAATCGACGGAACTTGTCCTGTGCCCAAAGGGTGTTTGATGTTCATTGTTCAGTTGTAAAGATCCAGTGGTGTTTCAACTTAGCTGGAGCCGATCGGAGGGGACTGATTGAGTGTGACTCATAGTTCTGACTATCTTTGGCGAACACAAGATACAGCGGAGACCGCAATGTTGCCAGGTCAGAGGTTGCATTTGATTTGTAAGGTTTGTAAAATGTGATTCCCCGCTCCAGTTGGCGGGCCGGCGGCTGGCGTCTGTTCGCTCTCACTCTCATACATACAGTACCTAGCTGTGACTAAAAATGTATCAGCCAGCTGACCTGGCCCATCCGTCCCGAGTATAGGCTGACACGGCCCGTGCCATGTCGCCTCTCCCTGACGGAGCCACCAGCCAAGGCCGGTCGCTGCTCGGGTTACTCGACCGTTCGCTGATGACACGAGCAGTCAGGTGACGCCGTCACCGTCACCACCGGTGACCCAGAACTGACGGTGTGACACAACAGGCACCATACCTGCGTGCCTCATCGCCCAACAGGCGCTCTCTTGTGTCTGATGGCCTCTTGGATTCCCCTCTGTGTTTGTGTGTGGGTATACGCGTGCATACATACGTTGAGATTGGATGCATGTCTTTCACCGGCGATTGTAAAGCGGTGATGCTGGATAAAGATACTGCCAATTTGCCATGCTTTGCCAGTGAATGCAGATATATCTCTTCTAGCTCCTTGTTACTTGGCTGCAGAAGGCCTAATGCGCAGTGTCTGACCCAACGGCGAAAGTTGAACTACGCTGTGCTACGAACTGAGCTGCGCTGTGTCGAGGACAGCTCTCTGACCAATGCTCGGACGGGGTGAGGTCATTGACCGACCTGGACCGACCACCGACGGCTCCAACCCGACTGACACCCCCCGGAGCGCTGACCACTTTCACTGCATGTTAATGGAAAACGGCGCCAACGGCTAATGAAAAACAACCTCAACACTCAGTCAGTGTACAGAGCTGCGGTTGAAGCAGTCAGCCCTGGGCTTGTATCGGTGAGATTATGGTGGGCTACTCCACTGGAAAATTAAGGTGCTGTGGAAGATGGACAGTGCCATGTGCATTGTGCAATGAGCATTAGAGTTGGGCCGGTACCATGGATAAAGCTGAAATGCACCGAAACCTATTAGGCTTGAAAGTCTGCCTGTTGTGCTTTTTGTGATTGGCAAAATATGTTTTATGCCGTGAGATAGGTAAGCTGGGCGTGACACAATATCATTTGTCGAGCGTTTTTTACTCTGAGCTGTTCTCTTCGAAATATACCAAAAGCTGAGAAATGAAAACCTTTTGCAGACTTTTTAGTTGTATCTGAAAAGAAAGGAAACTTTTGGATATATTGATTGCAATGCTGCTTCTCTGTTGACATTCTAAACTTGTGTCCAGTGCAGAGCTACAATCGCATCAGAATTGGATTTACAAATGACACTTTTACCTCGGGTCAAGCCCTTGAAACCCTTTATTGACCTTGTGTACCTACTTCGACAAGGAAAGTTTGCTGCTGCTGAATAAATCGGAGGCTGAAGTGTTATATAATTGAGAGCCCAACCGCTTGTACTGACAATACACGCTGTGACTTTATCGTAACGAGTAACGTGAATCATATAAATTAAAAGTTGATCATTGCTTACTCATACTTCTTACTTACATAATACATGCTACATACCATTATTACGGAGCGAGCGAAGCGAGCGTAGTCTTTCCTTAGATTAACGGAAATTTTTGAGATGAGCGGCCGGCCGGCCGGCCGTGGTCACGCTTTTGCGAGGCTTATATCTCAGCAACCACTTGACCGATTTACATGCGGTAATTTTTGTAGGGTAGCTTCATTCCTTCTACCAAGTATTGCACTATTCCCGATGCATGTGGGTGACCCCTTATGCACGTGCCACGTGCAAAACGAAGAGGCGTCACTTTTGTAATTGTTGCAATATCTCGGTAACTACTGGGCCGATTGCGCTGAGAGTTGGCATGTAGGTAGGCACCCACTAGGCAATGCATATCCATGTGCCAGAGTTGGGGTGCTGCTGCACGTGCGCACGTGCAGGGGTCGTTTCCAGATCTCGAGAACGGCTGGACCGATGGCGCTCAAATTTGGTACACGGTTACGGAGCAGTTAGTAGGGTGCCGTGCACAAGTCAGTTGGGACCCATTTTGCACGTGCGCACGTGCAGGGTGCCGCTTCCGGATCTCGAGAACGGCTGGGCCGATTGTGCTCAAATTTGGCACATCGCTAGAGACCGATTAGTAAGGTGCCGTGCACAAGTCAGTTGGAGGTACCCCCTCGCAATTTCGCACGTGCAAGGCCCACCCTCTCGCTCGCTCCGTTAGTCGCCGCAAAAGGCGTTATACTGGTACTAGATAGCGATAAAAGAAATGACGAGCATTATGCAATACAGGCAAACTATGCTGGCCATGATGCATTTACGCAAGTTTAACGCGATGCTCAACCAGCGTCGATAGAGCAGCCGTGGTTTGGTGGTGCCTTGTAGCCGGTACTGCATATAGGGTAGTTCGTACCCCTGCCACTTGCCAGATCCAACCTCCATTTACATGCATGGCATGTGTCGGAGCAGGTGCAGGGCGGAGCGGTCTCTCCCGCGCTGTGAGTAGAGGCCGGGCGGACTGTTCCGACTCTCCGGGTCCGGGTTCGGAGCACGGGTCCGGCGCGCACCGGGTAATGTTCCGGCTGGTGGCCCGGTCAGTCCCCGCGGTCACAGCCCGCGGCCATGGGAGCGCGAGCGCCCAAATGGGCCGGACGCGCGTCCAGCACAACAGCTGGGGTGAACGCACCGAGTCGGGATGTTTGTGACCTACCTGGCCGTCCGGCGGGTCCGCGCCGATATCGGTCAGCCGGTTAGAGTGGTCATGGGACGCCCCCGCCCCCGCCCCCGCCCCCGCCCGTGGGTGGCGGCGCCAGGACTTTCTCGGGGGTGAATGCGCTCTCCGGCAGCTGGTGGTCCGGCGAGCGGCCGAACCGAGTTCCAGCGTTTGAAAGCGCAGCGGGGTAGAGGATACGGTCGCTGTATTACACGGTGAGATACCGCAGCTGAGGCGTGGCGACTACAGTGGACAGTAAAAGAGCACCGGTCGGTCCTCTCCCATTCATCTTCTCTGAAGCTTGTGCGGCTTGAGAATAATTAGACGGTGGGCAGTACAGATAATGTGCTCCCTCTCTAAAGCGTGATTGATATTGGACCATGGCAATGGACGTCTCCCTCTGAGGTTTTGCGGACAATGTTGAGGATGTTGGCAGGTTTTAACTTCGAAGAGGATTGCTCTCTGTATATGGGGATTTTGAAATGCAGATCGCGTACCATTTTAACCCTCGCCCGTAAACGGCGATCTGCCACCTTCGCCCATGCAGGGGGGGGGTTGGTGCGACCCCCCCCCCTTGGCGTTTGAAAACGGAGCGTCGTAGAGCTTAGCGGAAAAGACCAACGGATTGCTCTCGCCGAGATCTCGCGATTGGTGGTATATTTTTTGGTCCTAGGTCAACATTTGACCTACTTTTGACCGGTCAAAGGTCAAATTTTCGGAAAAATAGATTTTTTCAACTTTCCGCGGCGATTGCGGCAAAACGGTGGGAGATATCGACTTGAAACCTTCACTATCGTGTTCCTTGATCAATTCTTTATCGTTTGGTATGTATTTCGTTTCCCTAGCTCTAAAAATGGCGCGTTGGGAGCGCCGGAAGTCGGCAAGGTCACAGTCGGCGGCAGAAATTCGAAAAATCAAAATTTAAATTTTTGAAATCTGATTGTATTTTTGGATTTGGAAGGTCCATTTGCTCCCTATAGAAGCTAATATTGCTGCATATTCCCATTGAGGTGACAAGAATTAGCAAAATAGTGGTTCGGGCGCTTTTCAAAAATAGTACCGGACGCTGTTCCTCTTGTGACGTCATAGCTCCGTGACCTGACCTGACCCGGTCAAGTTTCTTATACCATATGATAGCCAATACTTGCTCCAACATGCATGGGAAGTTTCATCACGATCCATCAACCGATGTCCCTACCACCGGCAGGAAACCTCGGGCGTTGGCACTCAGTTTGTGAAAATCCGGCCGGAGGCTGTTCCCTTTGTGACGTCATAACTCCGTGACCTGACATGACCCGGTCAAATTTTTTTTATCAAAAGATGCGCAAGGTTTGCCCCATAAGGTACCCAAAATTTGGCGGCGCTGCGCGCCGCCGTTTTTGCACTATTTTCGAAAAACCTCAGGGGGGGGGGGTTGCACCAACCCCTCCCCTACATGGGCGAGGGTTAAGCTTTTATGAAGTTTTAGGTATAATATGTTAAATATATTTTGTATTTAGGTAGAAACCGTAGCCCGGCGATTGTTGTCGGTAAACAGCCGCCCGGCGCTGTGTCGGTGTCGGCAGTGTATCGGTGTCGGTGTCGGCGGTGTGTCGGGTGTCGGTATATAGCGCCGCTCCAGTTCCAGCCCACGTGCCGACCAGGAGGATATGGCCCGGCCGCCGCTGGGCCACCGGGCACGGCTCACCAAATCTACACCGCCCCACCGGCGCGTCCATTGAGTGTGCTCGGTGAATGTGAGCCCCATGTCCGGGCCGCTGCCGGGTTATCGCCCCGGGGTCATTGACCGACCCAGGTCAGTGAACCCTGCATCAGGTGCGGGCCGTTTTCTAGGCAAGTTTTTGGGAGTTGTTTTTACTCCGGAAACAACTAGGCCGATCGCAGAAGGTGGCTTGTGTTATTTTTGTTGTAGATG